TGTGGGACCCTCGCCCGGCAGCTGGGGATCAAGCCGGTGCTGCAGAGGCTGCGGGCAGTTTCGCAACCCAGTGCTCAATCGCTGCGCCACCAGGGAGGCCCAGAAATTAAATCTTAACTCCAAATCTGAGCCTTATCCCTCATTCCCTTGTAGTCTTGCACAGGAGTATATATCATGAGCTTCTACTATTTCCCAGAATATTTCTTAGGTTTTCGTGTTTGTGCCACAACTTCCCCTGTGAGAATAAAATGCTAGAGAACCTAGGAGTAATCCTTTATGGAAAGCAGCTTCAAGAACCAAAATGTGTCTGGTGTCATAACCAGGAAGTTGACTGAAATTCGGAAATCAGTAGGGAGTGAGTGGAGAACTCTGTAGTGTGATTGAAAGAATCCTGACTGCCTCCTCAGATCTTGTCCTTGCTGTGATGCTGGTTGTTGATTTCAGGGCCCCCTTCAGCTAAGGAAAGTTGGTAGGATTAAATGATATCCAATGTCCCTTCTAGCTGCAATATTCCTAAAGGTAAATTCCAGGTCATTGGCACATAGTAGCTGCACAGGAAGCGTTATTGAAGGAAGCAGTGCCCTTCTGCTAGAAACCACCACAAACATACCTGGAACTGAATGATTGGGTTGACTCCGTGAAGTGAAGGAGAACTCATACCATGGAACCCTGGGCTCTCTCAGTAGGAGGGTATTAGGAAGGAGTTGTAGGGTTTAGGCTTGTATTAGGTGATTCAGGAAAGACTTAAGGTAGGAGGACTTTACTGTGAAATGGAAGCTGTTGGGAAACAGAGCTAATTCTATGATTGAATATCTCATTAAAGATATCCAGAAAGAGCAAAGATCAGTGAGACAAATGCTATAATTGGTAAAGAAGCACAATCAGATTATTGGCCAGATTAGAGGCATGTTTAGTCATTTCTGTGGCTGGACAATGTTGATGTTTTTATTTGTGTTCAGATGTGAGACCTCACAGTAGTCTTATTTTTTTTGTGATTCATCATGGTCATAGAGTGGCCTTGTCTGGAATTGATGTTCTATAAAATTGTTTAACTAGAGATTACAGAGCCTGGCTTTGAATAACAGGTTAGCTCCTAGCAACACTAGGGCCTGGTTGATAGGACCAGATTAGCTCCCAGGTGTCCAGGATCGCTTTTACTTTCTTTTAAGTATGCTAGTTAATAAATAAAGGAAGCCCTCTAACAAGGTGATTATGCACATAAGAGATATCTTCTTTTCCAACAGTTAGAGGAAAGTCTGCTTGTTTCTCAACGGTATTGCAAAATATAGTTAAAATGGTGTCAATTTTAAGTGTTAAAGAACTGTTAGAATTATGTACTTATCAAACCTCTCTGGAGTGATGATTTATTCAATTTTTTTCTAAGTAAAGTTTTAGTAGGAAATTTCATAGTATATGATAAAAATAATTCAAACAAGTATACATATTGCTGGTAAGAGGGCAAAAAAAGAAATGCTATCATCCCTAAAAAGGGCAATATGGTATTATGTATCAAAATTGTAAGTGAACTGTGCTAATGCATTTTTATTTCTGGGAATATACCCCACACTTTTACCGGTATATGTGTGAAATGACTCAGTATAAAGTTATACATTTTAGCATTGCTCTTAAATGCAATCTTGGAAACACCCCAAGTGTCCATAGTTTACATAGCTTAGAGGATAATTACACAAACTACAGTAAATCCACACAATAAAGTTCCTTGTAGCAAGAAAAGAATGAGGAAGCCATCTGTATACTGATACAAGATATATATGTATACTGGAAAGAGATCCAGTATCTGATGTTAAGTGAAAAAAGCAAACTAGGGAATAGTGTTATCCATTGTAGAAATGAAAGGTAAAAAGAAATATATATTCATATTAATTTATATTGCCTTAAGTAGCTATAAAAACTTGGGGAACTGATGAAATGATCACCTGTTGGGAAATAATCACCTGTAGGATGGGAATAAATGTTGTGAATAGGCATATAGGAAGGAAACTTTTCACAATATGCTTTTTAAAATATGTTTTTGATGCTTGAACCATAAAAGCGTATTACTTATTCCAAAAATGAAAATAATTTAAAGATATGTATGATAGAAGTATATCTTTCTCTCACCCCATTCCACTCCTTAGGACCATTCTGATCAATTTTTTAAATAGGATTTCAGAGAAGTCTGTTGTGCTTTAAGAATCTCCAGAGAAGCAGAACCAGTTAGATGAAATAGAACCAGTGGGATGTATACACAGAGAAAGCCAAACCTAGCCAACTTGGCACATATAATTATTACATCCATGTACAATTTTGATTGATTTTTTAAAATATTTATTTATTTATGCATGCATGCAAGAGCTGGGGTGTAGGCCAGAGGTGCTGCAGGGTGAGAGGATTCACCAGAGCAGAGTGGGGAGCAGAACAGGCAGATCTACTGAAATACACTGCTGAGGGGAGCAGCAGGGAGACAGGAGAGGTCTGCTATACCATGTGGGTTACCGCCCAGGTAGGCTGGAGAATCAAACTTTTGCTGCAGTGGCTGTCGACAGCCTGACAGCACTATCTTTAATCCCTGCACCACCAGGGAGGCCCATTATTGATTTTTTTAATAAATAAAAATGATAGTGTATCATGCATGCTGATATATACCTTGTCTTGGGTGATAACTTTCCCTGTCCTCAAGGAGTAGGAGGAATCTCAAAAGAAATATACCTTTGAAGTATATGAAAATTGGCAATTCTGTATTATGGAAGAGAAGACATGGTTAACATAAAAAGGAAAATAGCAGTTTAGAAACACATGTGGTAGAGGCTAATGTTTACATTATTTGAAGACTTCCATAATTTGAAAAGAAAAATAGTGACTCCCTGATCACAAAGAGCTAATCAATGAAAGGAAAGCTGCAGCTGGGAAGAACACATGAGAAAAATGTTCAACCACTAAAATTCAAAGAAATGTATAATAAGGCAACTTATATATAAACTCATTTTTTAAAAGAATAAATAAGAATGTTATGAAACACCCAAGATATAATGGTGGTGTCAGGATAAACTAGTCAGTTTTTTAAGAGCTGTTTGTCAGGATGAATCACAAGCTATAAAATCATGCCCTTTAGCTCACTAATCCTTTTCTGGGAGCTAATCTTGAGAAAATAATTCAAAAGATGGTGAAAGGCATAGACCATGGAGATGTTCATTGTAACATTATTTGTACAATCAAACAAGCTAAATATCCAGAATAATTATGGTTTATTATTTTCATGAAATGTAGTCATTAAAAATCAGAACAAAGACGAGCAACAAGGCCAATGTGCAATATTTAATATTATATATAACAAACAAATATGTTTTGACCCTGATTAAAATGAAAAGAAAATTGTATACTTGCCGACAAGAACCTATACGTATATGGAAACAACAACAAAAAAAAAAGCATTTGGATCCATTTGGGATATCAGAATTGTAGGTAACATTTCTTTTTATTTCAATCCCATTAACAATTGTCTTAGTCTATTCAGGCTGCCAGAGCAAAATACCACAGATTGGGTAGCATATAAACAATAGGAATTATTTCCTCACAGTTCTAGAGACCAGGACGTACAAGATCAATGTGCTGTTCTTTCCATACAATACTGTTCTCCCCATACAATCAGGTAACCCTACATGAAGCACCTTTTCTGGGTAGGGCTCTGAATATATGACGACATGTAATACAGGCTCTCTATGCTTAAGAAACTTACAGAAGAGCTTACGTGGAGTCTGGTAAATGTCCTTATGGATTTTGAGCATCTGATACCTTGACTCCTTCCTGTTCTGCCTCTCTGCTGGACTCCACATAGCCTTTCTCCTTTTCCAATTGGACAAATGGTTAATGACTTTAGGGACCCCCTTGCCAGAACTCATGAGTTTCTTAGGTGCTGGCAGATTTACTGTCTGGTAAAAGCCAGCATCCTGGTTCATAGATGGTTGTCTTTTCACCATGTCCTTGTGAAAGAGAGCTAATGAACTCTCATGGGGTCTTTTATAGGGTTTTAATACCAATCATAATGACCCTGCCATCATGACCTGTGTATCTTCCAAATGTCCTAACTCCCAGTACCACTACAATGAGGATTAGGCTTCAGTTACGATTTTTTTTTGGGGGGAGGGTATATAAGCATTCAGCCTGTAGTAATATTGTTATAACATTTTAAGTAATTATAACTTTAAAATAGCAATAAGTTAATATTATCCCAAGCAGTAGTTATTAGAGTTAACATTTTGAAGTTGGGAAAACATTTGATCCAATTTCTCAACCAGTCTCCTGCTATAATGGTCGCAGGTGTGGGATGAGGTGAGTGGTGTGCTTCTCACACTTGGAGGGCTATCACAGGTTCTGGGACACAGAGCTGCTATTCTCTGCTCAGGAACTAGGCACCTCTCTATTAAGTCTTAAAAGATGCTTCAGAATCTGCAGATGTCAAATATGTAGAAAAGAACAGAGAAACTAGAAGTAAACTAAATCCCCATGTCAATAAAATTAGGTCTCTAATATTAAGACAGTAGTTGGTACTATTCTTGACATTTTCTGCTTATTAAAGATGTTTTACTAAATTTTTGATAGTGCATCCATCTAAATAAAGACCTTTTAGAATATTGTATATTTTCATTCACAGCTAGTTTCAGGTCAACTTTTTTCCTAATGAATACAGGTATAAATAGAGTCAATGAAGACCCAGTGGTATAAATATGTCATTGTGTTCTGTTGTTTTATGCCCCATCTCTTTGATCTTTCCTCAGATTGGAGATAGTTTCTTAGTGTCTGTGGACTTACGCTTTCATCAGTTGATTTATTTTCTGAGTTTGGAATGCAGTAGTAGAGATCATCTCCATCCTGGCAGACTTCCCAATTAGAAAAATGCATTTGCCAAGCAGAAAAGGGATAGGTTACATGCCTAGGTCTCTTCCAGTGACTGCCAGGAAAGTGGATTTGGTGGTAACTCCTATGACGAATGTGTTTTTCAGGGTGGATCACTTGTACACGTTCTTTGTTCAATGGTCTCCTGATGTCTATGGGAAAGATGCCAAAGACCAAGGCTTTGTGGTGGTGGAAAAGGAAGAACTGAATATGATCGACAACTTCTTCAGTGAGCCGACCACTAAGAGCTGGGAGGTGAGCAGAAGAGCGGGATAAACTGTCATGGACCTTAAAAGACTGCATCCCTTTGAATACTCTTGTCCAGGTTCCAAGTGACTGGCTAGAACAAGTTAGAGTCTCTGTGCATCTTTGAAGTTACAGAGGAAAATATCTTTCTTCCTCTGTTGGAAGCTAGTTTCGTGTGTCAGAAAGACTGCATGTAGTTATAATGTATCATGAATTGCTATTCATTTGAAATTTTTTGCAACCACTTGAAAATATAGAACACAATCTTAGCTCATGTACCATCTTAAACAGATGGTGGCTAGATGTGACTGATAGGCATAGACTTTTAGCCCTTGGTTTATACTGTTCTCTCCATATAATCAGGTAACCCAACATGAAGCACCTCTTCTGGGTAGGGCTCTGAATATATGACGACATGTAATACAGGCTCTCTATGCATAAGAAGCTTACAGAACAGCTTATGTGGAGGCTGGTAAATGTCCTTAAGGATTTTGAGTATCTGATATCTTGACTCCTTCCTGTTCTGCCTCCCGCCTGGACTCCACATAGCCTTTCTCCTTTCCCAGTTGGACAGATGGTTAATGACTTTAGGGACTCCCTTGCCAGGACTCATGAGTTTATTAATTGTTACCCCATCCCCTGCAGTCTAGTCAGCCTGCAATCCTGGATGAATACACCCTCTCACTTTCTCTGCTCCTAGGAGTCCAAGAATTGCTGGAGCTCAACCAGGGAGAATGATACCATTACAGCTACATGGTTTCTGAATCCTTGGAAATTCTTTACTTCTCTGTGCTTACCTCCCTTTTCTTACCTCTTACACTCTTCTTAAATTCTCTAACCCACTTCATCTTCCATGAATCCCTTAGGTAGTTCTCTCCTTTATTTCACAAAGAAGGGGCCATTGAATAAGATCTCCCTCACCTTCCCCCTTTGCTGTTCTTAATGTACCCATTACTGCACTCTTTATTTTTGACCCAGAGGAAGGATCTTTCTTTCCCCCCACTAAGGCTGATTCTTGTTTATCAGTTATGTGTCATTGCTCTCTCCTTCTGTCCTGTGTCATTGCTCTCTCCTTCTGTCCTGGAGCTTCTCTTTCATCAAGATATAAAAAAAAATTTAAAGAATGGAAATAAAGGGAAAACATTTTCACCCCAATTTCTCTCTAAGTTCTCATCTATCATCCTCCTTTCTCTCAACATCCAGCTTCTTGAAAAAACTGGTTCATACTCCAATTTCTCAACTGCCCTTGTGTCAACCTGCAGGCCAGCATGTTTTCCAGTTATCATTGAAACCACCCCCTCTCTGGGCATGGTAGACCTCCTACTTGCTATCCTCATTCTACACAAATTCCCTCTGAATTTGGCAACTGCTGTTACTCAAGCTCTAAAGCTCTTTTCCCATTGACTTGCACACACCATGCTCAGCTTCAGCTCACTTTCTGTATTTCTTTCTGCTCTTCTTCTTGTCTTTGCCTTACCCCTTTTACATGTTTTTCTCCCCCAGAGAATGTATTCATGTTTCATGTTTTCCTCCCCCAGACATATCTTTTTAAATGAGTTCTCACCAGATTTCTATTCATGATCTAGTCCATCATCCTTAGATGACTTCACATTATCTTCTGTCTTTAGTGACCACCTGAGTGCTGACCATTCTCAGGCCTTTATCTGCTTCCCTTGTCTCTGCAGAAGTCTTCATTGTGGGTAATGTTTGTATCCATCTCCCTGTTACTCAAACTAGAAAGATTTGCATCATCATCTGCTCCTTTTCCCTCTTCTTCACATCCTTCCTTAGGAAGGGCTCTATAATCCTTCCTCATAGACACAGCTTTACTTGCTTTTATGTTTATTATATCTGATTGATTTTATCATCCTTCCCAGTACAATCCATCCCCCACAGCTTAGCTGGAGTTATGTTCTAAAAAAAGTATTCATTAATTGAATATTTGAGCACCAAATAAGTGCTAGATGCTATGTTAGGTGCCTTAGATGCAGTGGCAGGCACAATAAAGATGGTCCCCAATCTCAAAATGTTTACAGGCGAGTTATTTCACTCTCATTTTTAAAAACTGCTGTTGGGTTCCCTTTAGGTACAGGATGAAATTAAGGCTCCAAAATTTGTCCTCAAAAGCACGCCATCATTTTGAGAGCACTTACCAAGCCCTTCCCATGCTAGGGGTACAGTGGGTGAGATAAGCAGTTTAGCATCAAGGAGTTTAGATAAATCATTACACTCTAAAGAGTTAATTACCTTTGCAGGGGAAGTGCTGCCAAGTGCGGAGAAGTTGGTAGGCAGGGCCTGAACCAGGCCAGTACGAGCAAGAAGAGCAGCCCAGGAGTGAGCTGAGTTGAGAGCACCAAAAGTGGGAAAATAGGCAGTTGGGCTGGCAGTGGGATTTGAAACATATTCTAGTGAGAGAGAAAAATCTATGCAGAGAAAGGCCCAGGGAAGAAACAGAGAGCATGGGGGCATTTGATGAACTAACACAAGTTCAGCAGAAACAGGCAGCAAGAGAAAGGTCAGCTTCAGGATCTAGACAGTGTGCCCCAGAATGCCTCAGACTCAGGCCCTGAGAATGAAGGAAAGGACAAAACTCTCTAGCAGATAGTCTCTAGATCTATAATGGAAGAGGAAGAAGACAGGATGGAAAGGAGGAAGAAATGGGTTGGTTTGTTCTAAGCACCTAGTACTTTTGTTGACACTGGGAACACCTGGAAAGAAAACTAGAGAGAGAGGATGACTGGACTGTTCAGGCCACCTTATCCCTACTTTCTTTCCATATTGAAGAAAGAGTCCAAACTGCAGTGAGAATAATGCTTACAAGCATTACCTTAAAGTCTAGCCACTATAGCAACATTGCTTCTCCACTGTGGGTGGGGAAGAAGAACTTTACATTTTCCTAGACGCTTACAGGTGTGTCTGATTCTCAGAATGTCCAAATCAACTCATCATCTTTGCCTAAACATGCCTCTCCTCTTGTATCCCCATCCTAATGAGTGGTGCTCCAAGCCAGAAACCTGGACATCACCTTTTTTTCTCCATCAAGACATCTAGTCAGTCATCTCCAGTCAGAGTCTTGTTGATTTTAATTTGGGGATGCAGAAACTTCCACTTTCCTCTACCACCCTTGCCCTAGTCAGCCTGTCTGCACCCTTTACTCAGACTCCCAACACCCCTCTGGATGTCCTAACCCTGCCAACAATTCATTGTCCCATATGCAAGCTCTTTAAATAAGCTTTATTTTCTAATTTTATGAAAGTAGTAGCTGCTTCCTATTGAAGTCTAAAAACTACAGAAAAAAATAATCAGAAAATTTTAAAATAATACCCAAGCCCATTTAAGACTTTTGTACGACTCCTTTGATTCTTTCTCTGTTTAGGGTGCTCACTCTGTGGTGATAGAGGTTGAGCTTTGAATTTTATGTTTGCAAAATGGATTTATACTCTATCATTTGTGTATGACTTTTCTTACCTGATATATTTGAAGCTTGTATCAAAGTTTTTAAGCCTCTTTTCTAATGGTTGCATGATATTTTTAATCTTGATTATAATTTAACAATTCTCCACTTTTGGGAATAGATGTCCAAGTTTTTCATAAGGATGCAATGATTTGCAACTTTTAGTTTCCTGGAAGTGAAAGTAGTTGGTATAGGGTACTTATTTTTTAAATAACACCAACTCAGCTTGCTAGCATGTGAGGAATGCCCTTCATACTGTACTATTGTCTTTCCTTTCTAAAATGTTTGTAACTTGGAAGCTGAGTTGTATTTTACTTTCTGTTACTTTTAAGGATAGTGTGTGTGTGTGTGTGTGTGTGTGTGTGTGTGTGTGTGTGTGTGTATACATGCCATTTTTGTTTTTTTTCCTCCTTTTTGATGCCCACTCATTTCCTTTGCCCATTTTCCTAAAGGAACCTACAGTTTCATTTACACTCTTTGAGCTTTTTGTGATTAAATATATTAGCTCTTTGTCTCTTGTATTTTATTTATTTATTTATTTGTTTGTTTGTTTATTTATTTACTTACTTACATAAGCATTGGGTACAGTCAGAAGCGCGGGAGGGCGAGAGAATTCACCAGAGCCAGAGCGGGGAGCAGAGCAGGCAGAAGGACCGAAGTACACTGCTGAGGGGACCAGCGGGCGGCAGGAGAGGTCTGCACGCCATGTGGGACCCTCCTCCGGTGGCCGGGGAGCAGCCAGGGATCGAACCGGCGCCGCAGAGGCCGCGGGCAGCTTCGCAACCCAGCGCTCAACCGCTGCGCCACCGGGGAGGCCCTGTCTCTTGTATTTTTGACAAACTTTTCCTAGTTTGCTGTCTTTCACTTATTTTTTTTGATTGTGACATTTTCTTGCAATGCTTTCACATATATGTATAGGTGGTCTTGTAGTATCAATATAAATTCCACTCAGTCTGTAATTGATCTAGTGATATATGATAGGTAATATTTTAATAGGTTTTTAGTACCATTTAATAATTTCTAATATTTCCTTCATCATGTTTAAAAGTACTGTACACATTTCATGCTATTTAACATGTTTAAGTACAGAGGTGTGATCATGCACTTCCTTACTTAAAATACTCAGTGGCTCCCATTGACCATAGTAATCATTACCCACAGGGCCAATCATCAAAACCACCCACCTGGAAACTTTTTTTAAACTAAATGTTAGACACTCACCACCATAGAGATTAATTCAGTAAGTCCGGCAGAGGAATGTCAGAATCTGTACATTTGAAATCTCCTAGATTATTCTGAGAAAAAGCCAGAAATTTTCATTTCTCTCTACTCTTGCTCACTCCCAACCTCTCTGCTTTGTCTCTACTTCCCTTTTTTTCTATCTCAAACCATGGAGAGGCTGGAACATAGAATGTTTCTGTGTTCCCATTATGCTCACTTGGCTATCTCTCCAATACCTACCTTCAACCCTCATACTACACCTCCAGTCCATCTCAGAATTCCCGAGGTGGCCCCACTGTGAGCACTTGTGTCACATGGAATGACATTCATTTATTCAGAGAAGCCTCTCTGCTATCCTCTCTAATGTCACCCATTCAGGATCACAGGCTGCTTTGTGTCAAAGCACCTGGCACTCGCCATCATACTGAATGCACTTAAATAGCTGTCATGACGTGTCAAGTATGGGAAAGTATGGTGCTTCCTTAGCCCAAACTGGGTCTGGGCTTGCATTGAGGTAAATTCTGGCTGGCCTGGGTCTGGTCACTAAGTACCTTCCAAATCCTCTTTGTAACTGACCTCCAGGAGAAGCTATGAATTGCACCCTAGTACTCTCAGCAGTCCCCGGGAACAAAAGGCCATTTTGGATCTGGAAAAGTCACAAAGGATCACTGAAATTGATCTGCTGGTCATTTATGTTTCTTTCCAACTCCCTGACATCTGATCCGGGGAGTAGAGGAGAACTCATCATCCTTCTTAGTCTTAATATTAATATTCTATTTCGCTGAGCATGATCCCTTCCAGCTCCATGCACATTGCTGCAAATTGCATGAGTTTATCTTTTTTGATTGCTGAGTAATATTCCATTGTGTATATGTATCACATCTTCTTGATCCAGTCATCTCTTTTTGGGCATTTGGGTTACTTCCATAGCTTAGCTATTGTAAATAGTGCTGCTATAAAAATAGGGGTGCAGGTGCCCTTTTGAATTAATGAGTCTGTGTCCTTTGGGTAAATACCTAGTGAAATAAGCCAGAAAGAAAAAGAAAAATACCGGATGGTCTCACTCATAGCAGGAATTTAGAAAACCTAAATAAGGGACCAGGAAAAATGACTAATTATAATAAAGTAAAAATCAAAATCAACAAGCAACTAGAAACCAGAGACACACTATAAGGGGAGGAGGGATTAGAGTCAAAATATGGAGTGGGGAATTGTATGGGGAATATAACCAAGATGAAAATGCATACGTTGTGCAAAAATGAAAAATGATGTAAAAATATATAAAATATTAAAAAATTAACATTCTAAAAGGTAAGAAAGTATTACTTTCCAGCTGTTTAAAAAAATGTCATCTAAAGTAACATTTTTCTCAGTTTCGTATAAACCAGATGTTTTCCCATTCTTGTAAGTTCCTCACACCTGACAAAGATGACATAGGGCTGAAATGAAATGCATTTGTTCTCAGAGTAGTGAACCTATCTGCACCTCCAGTAAAGGCTCCCTTTCATCCTACCTGTGAGATTCAAACTGATGATCAGGAACATACATAAAGTTTAAAATGGAGGTTCAGCTTTGGAGAAGATGCTGTACAAACTCAAAAAGCTGGGCTGGAAAAGCCAGCTTAGCCAGAGGACAAATAGGAAGAAAAGTGAAAGAAGAAAAAGAAAAAACTTAAACAATGGGGTTTTGTTGTGCTATTAGGAAACCACTGTTCAAAGGTGAAAGTCATTTTACAGCCTCACTGCTAAGCTTGACAGGAAGTGTGTATTTGCTCTAAATCCTAATTTGGGTGTGTTCCTGTAGAAATGCTGAACCCTCTCCTAAGGGAAACAGAAACTTAATCATGCAGGAAACTAGATACAGCAAAAACAGTTGTAGCTCAGCGTGGCTACAAATAAGCGTGGTGTGGGGGCAGATAGTCAGGAAACCTGTTCTGAGTTAGCCAGCAAGCAGTCCGCTCCACTCGCCATGAGAGTCCGCAGATTGCCCCTGGACATTCAGATTTTCTATTGTGCCAGACCTGACCAAGAGCCTTTTGTGAAGGTAAGCTGGAGTCTCTGAGAGTTAGTCAGGTGCCGGCAAAGTCGCAGAGATCTCTACTCAGCATGTTTTGAAAGCGTGTCTCAGATGGGAAGGATTGGGCTGACATTTCAATAGTAGCAGGTATTTTATTCATGTTGGGGATGAATATAGCGTGGTTTTCCCCTTTCCTTTGGAATCAAAAGTCTATATTTGTTTCCTTCCACAGCCTCATTTGTACCTGAGTTAAAGGTAGAGTCACCAAAAATACATGCTTTATTTAATACTTTTTAAATGCTGGATTTATGATTCTTTGACAGTATTTTATTTAAGTAATTAACATCCTGAAAGGTAATAAAATTTATAGACTAATTTCCCTGTCAATCCACCTTAGACAATCTAGCACAGATGACAGATTTATATCTACCACCGTACATCTTGAAAATTTCTATAGTATGTTATCTGACAGTTTTTGTTACATGTAATTTAAATGTTTTGTTTTTGATGATGCGAAAGTCATTAATACTGATACTGAATTTGATGAACTAATCACCATATATATATATATATATATATATATCCTTCAATTTAAAATAATCAGTTAATTATCCAAACTTTAGGTGGGACAAAAAATAGATTTTAAGGTGAAATTGACTTTGGTTGTTCAGAAGTAATTACAATGAAATAATAATAATAGTAAAGAAACATGTTTCTCAGTTTTGAAGGAAAGACTAATGGTTTCTGAACTGTACTTAGAGAATGCTAACCTAATTGTAATTTTGACTTATGCTTTCTGTCACTCTGGACTGTTGCTCCTGGTAGCTGTTATCATGTCATTTCTATCCATGCTGGTTGCTATTTGCACAACCTAGAGGGACAATATTAGCAGTTTTGATTAAAAAACTATCCTCCTCTTCCCACTTACAGAAGATTTACAGAATGATCTCTGGTTAGTCATTTTCTCAAACAATTCAGATTTAGATGCAGGCTAAAGGAGATTAATTTATTTCAAGGTTATAAGTTGCTTGTGGACTTATACGTAATTCCTACTCCGAGTGAGCAACTGGCGGCCATAGTAAAAGTGGAAAATTTGAACTTGTACATATGAAGCACCTCAGCTGTACTATGTTAAATTCTGCATATGTTCTAAAATTGAAATATTAGCCCTTTTCCCCAAAGTCCCAGTTCAATATAGGTCTTGCTGTTAAAATTCCACCTGTTATAGGCAGTTGTGAGTATGAGGTCATTTTTAGCAGGTGAAGGTAAAGCAAATACACCCTTTCCCTTGGCTTCTTTGTCTTTTAGATCATCACAGTTGAGGAGGCAAAGCGCAGGAAGAGTACATGCAGCTACTATGAGGAGGACGAGGAGGAGGCGCTGCCGATCCTGCAGCCCCACAGTGCTCTTCTGGAGAACATGCACATAGAGCAGGTGGGTTCTCCCTGGGGAAGTAGGTGGGAGGACTTCTGGGCCTCATAGCACCTTCTCCTTCCTGACCACATATGCTTTTCCTACTGGGGGTGAATGATGAGCAAGATTTGAGGGAAGATCACTAAGAACCTAACCAATGCTGGTATCCCTTTGTCTGCAGAATTCCTTCCACTGCCTTCTTAGGAAGGCAAGGAGTTGGTCATCCCTCCCAAACCTGAATGAAAAGTCATTTCATGTTGTAAAAACACTGTTTAAAGTGTCTTGCCATAGGTATAACACACATTAAATTTTTTTCCTAGTTATCATTATAGAGTTCCAGGGGTTCCCATTCATGTGGCTCATTAAGGGACACCTGACACATTCAATTTATTTATTAAAAACTGTCTAGCAGTAGAAAAATTTTCCTTTTTATGTAATCTTCTTTGTGTGCTTGATAGTTTTTGAAACTGTTACTTTAACTTTATGAAATGCTACAATGGAATCTCTTGCACTTACCCCCTCAGTCAGCTTAAAAACCTGAATTTCTATTTTTTTATTATTCAGGAAATTGAATTTCATCAAGTTAAACTCACTCAATTTACAAATGAGGGAAGGCCCAGGAAAGTCAAGAGATTAGACCGAGAGTTACAGAGACAAGGTTGTACTGATACAAGAATGGATGTTAAGCATTCTAAAGGCTTCACATCATAGCTTCTTTCCTTAGCATTTTTGAAGAGAGGTGCATTTCGATAATTATAGCAGCCAAGTTTAAACTAAACATGAATGTAGGTGAGAGATACAGACATGATGAGGGCAAACTGCTCCTCATTAGTAGCATAGAACACCTGTTTTCTTGCTGTCACTTCTGTGGGGAGCTGCAGTTGTCAGAAGCACCTCTGAGTCTATCAAGTTTTAGAAAGAATAGAGAAACATGAAATAGTTGGTGAAAGTCAGGTTGAAGTGTGAAGGGGAGAGCATGGATCTCTTACCTCTTTATCAAACCACATACTGTATCTTCAAATGGAGAGCAGCATAGTGACCCCTCAATCAGGCCCTGGAGAAGGAATTGTGTGCTCTGGGAAGCATCCCTGTCAAAGTAAACACTGTCAAGCAGTGACTTTTCCTTCTCTTTCTTGGTTCAGAGTAGCAAGCATTTGTCAAAATAAAAGGGAACACTCTGTAAGTGTGATTTTGAGTTTGAGCCACAGACACTTATTTTGTGTTGCAAGTTCATGAGTGATTGTGGGCATACGATAAATTTACATCTCCATCTCTGGCTCCATAGCTGGCACGGCGCCTTCCAGCAAGGGTGCAAGGTTATCCATGGAGACTTGCATATAGCACATTAGAACACGGGACCAGCTTGAAAACCCTGTATCGGAAGTCAGCGTCACTGGACAGCCCGGTCCTATTGGTCATTAAAGATATGGATAATCAGGTGAGACATGTCCTTGTCCTAGAAAACACTTTTAAGTGAAGATTCTAAATCTGTACAACAGTAGAGAGACTGGTAGAATGAACTCCATCATCCAGATTTCAGTTAGCGAGATTTTGCCACATATACTTAACATGTTAAAGATGTAGATATCATTCTTTTTGGCTAGGAAGCAGCTTTTACTAGTCAGCTGAAGCGAATGTATAAACGAATGCCTGTAGGGCTTCCCTGGTGGTACAGGCAGTTGAGCACAGTGCTGTGAAGCTGTCCGCAGCCTCTGCAGCACGGGTTCCATCTGGCTGGCCTGGGAGAGACCCACATGGCACGGCCGACCTCTCCTGTCTCGCCCGCTGCTCCCCTCAGCAGTGTGTTTCTGTCAGTCTGCCTGTTCTGTTCCCTGCTGTCTCTGGTGAATCCTCTCACCCTCTTGCAATCTGGTCTGTACCCCAGTTCTTGTATGCATGAATAAATAAATCTTTAAAAAAAAATAAATGAATGCCTGTAAAGAGTGGGGCATAATTAAGCAACTGGTGAACATGGCTGTGAAGTCATAGAACTGGGATCAATTTCAAAAAAAAAAAAATCAGTCTTTGCTGTCATAATTTGTCTTAGGAAAAATTGACAGAGAGATGAGGTTACTGAAGGCACTGTCTTTCTCAACTGTGGTCCTCCCTAGGACAGTATAATTGTCTTTAAGAAGTGGGAGGGGGTGGGAGGGGGGTAAGTTATTTTTCTTACTTTGATTATGTCCTGATTGAGATTTTATTTAATAATGATCTAATCTGAATAGTGAGTAGAATCAAGTTAAAAATTAAAATATAACAAAGATTTAAAGTGGAATTACTTAGGCATTTAGTGAAATGAATTGGGGGCTATCTTTTAGATGAGATGTGACTAGATGGTTTAAAACCACTCGCAAGTCCTCACCATAACTATAGATTTGTTCTCCCTAGCTCCCTAGCACAGAGTAGGTATTGAAGCACAGTCTGCCCCAGCATCCTGTCAGGAGATCAGTAAAGGAGGGCCACACCTCAAGGTTATACTGTAAGTGGTGGAGTTTTCCTGAATCTGTTCCCCTGGAGGCACTTGTGTTGTTTGAAGACACCTGGATGGTAACTCCACTTTCCCCACCCACCAACCCCCAAGGCAAGAATGTGGCTTTTCCTGTGTTTGAGACGTGATAGAACATGTCTATAAATTTATCTGAAAATGAATTATATAAAATTCTAAAATAAAAATATTATATGTACAAAATAACAGCAATGAGGAGCTCTGCAGAATCACTGAAAGAACAATAACTGATAGAAATTATAGAAACAATAAACATTTAATGTCTCTGGAAATTATCCCAAGGGCATACAACAGAAAAGATTTATTCAATAATATCAAATATATCTGAGTAATAAATCTGAGTAATAATAATGGTGAGATTCTATGGCACTTGGGCTCCAAACTACTCCCTCCCTCAATCTCCAGATTGATGGATGCTGTACAATTTAAGCACCTGTAGACAAGATGGGACCCCCCTCTCTCCCTAGCTCCAAGCAGGTGTTATGACATGCCTCGTCTAGAGTATGTGCCTAGCACTTCTTCCCTCCTGCTCAAGATCTGTGTCTCAGTGGCTAAATTCCAGGTAATGATGGCCTAGAGGAGGGGTCTGTGTTTCTTCACCTAGCCCTTACTCAAGGTCAGATGCTTACCTGAAGCATGGCAGGGGTCTCTACTGCCCCTGGAATTCCGTAACACATGAGGTGACAAAGGACTAGCCACCTCTACACCTGCCCTGTACCCTGCTCATTAGACAAGTTGTTTCCCCTGAAAGAAGCAGCCACTGTCCATCCCCAGTTCCAGAACAGAGCCCCTAGTTCCTGGTTGCAAGGGAAGAGACAGACCAGAAGAGTTCTGAAATAACTATAAATAAAAAAATAAATAACTATAAATAAATAAATAAAAATAAATAAATATAAATAACTAAATAAAAAAAATAAATATTTTTCTTAAATAAACTGCCTTAGAAAATCCCATTTAAAGCCACTGTAATATGGAATTATTTTTTTAAATGCCATTTCAAACTAAGATATATTAGCTGAATCATGTTAAGGATAGTTTTAATAAGCATATTAAGAATTCGTTTTTCTAAGTCAAAAGGAAGAAAATGATTAGTTTTCTCACTTTCTTTGGAGAAATGTCTGTCCATGGTTCCATTTATAAAACACATAAGACATAACTTTGTTCTCCCAGGAACTCACTTCTGTGTATAAGATGCATCTTGGTGTTGCTGAATGTTCAACATATATCATCTATATTCACTAAAGTAAATGTGTTTTTGTAGTGAACTTTGAACAACTTTAAATTGGAACAATTGTTTGGCCTTTGACAAACAAGCTCTCTGAGTCATTCAGGTTCCAGTGTGAGCTGGGGACATTTTAATTTATCTTTTTTTTTTTTTTTTAAAGAATTCCAACTTGGTTTACTGAAAGAGTCTCTGATCCCAGAACAAATTTGTGTTAAAATATTTCAGAAACCATTTTGGGGAGAGGTTTAGGTTTGAAAGTAGACTTTCTGGTTTTGTTTTACAACACTTTGTTTATAACACTTCTGTTTTTGTTTTTTGACAGATTTTTGGAGCATATGCAACACATCCTTTCAAGTTCAGTGACCACTATTATGGAACAGGCGAAACTTTTCTCTACACGTTTAGCCCTAATTTCAAGGTACCTAATGGAAGAGTATCTGTCTGGCTTCCCCATATCACAGTGTCAGTCCTATGGGTGGGGTTGGGAGTAGGGGATGCTGAGGCAGCATCTGGCCTATTAACCTCATCTGGACTCTCCCTGGGCTGGGTCAGCACTTTATGGCTGAGCACACACGCTACTTAGGGTCTCTGCCTGGGTCTGGGAAACTCTTCTACATGGTCTGGGACTCAGGGAGGGTTTTAGGTCAGAACAAACATGTGCTTGAAAGGTCTTTCCCATTTCACTACTCCTTTGTGATCTCATCCTGGTGAGGCAAACGTATGGAGTCAGTTGCTTCTTCAGCCAATAGATAGTTCTCTTCTAAAGCAGAAAGTTGCTAAGTCTGCTGCTTGGGGGAGTCTGCCTCTTAGATTCTGCTGCTTGCTGGAGCAGAGAAGTTGCTGGGTATACTGCTTGTTCACAGTAGTAGCCACAGCTACCTTGACCTCCTTCCCCTATGCCATGATGAATGGGGTTACAAGCTTCCTCATACAGTCTGTATAAAACCCTGCCATTTCTGATCTTTGGGACTTAGACTTTTGGGAGCAATCCCACTGAGCCCACCGGTGTGACAATCTCTCTCTCTCTCTCTCTCTCTCTCTCTCTCTCTCTCTCTCTTTCTTTCTCTCCCCCCCACACACACACCTCTCTGAGTGCCACCTGATTTCTCTGGAAAATTACCATAACACTTCCACACAGAGGCATTCTGATATTCCCTCCTTGCTAGTTCTCCAGATTAAAATATTTATTCTTTGTCTTTTGTTTCTCCCCACAGGTCTTTAAGTGGAGTGGAGAAAACTCATATTTTATCAATGGAGACATAAGTTCTTTAGAACTTGGTGGTGGAGGGTAAGGTTGTTGTTGTTGTTGTTAAGTTACATGAATGTGTTATTTTGACCCAGGTAACCAAAACCTTGGTGTCAGGTGACTTTAACTAGTCTGTGTGTTTAGATTAATTAGGACAGTAGCCTAACACATGACACTAAGGGTCAAAGATAAAATGATTTATTTATGTGTCTACATGAGGGACTATTACCACTTGTCTTTTAAAAAGGACCAGTCATTTAAATGAAATAAAGGAAATGTACCCTTGGTTTACCAGCAGTTTAGAGCTTGTCTGCAGCAAAAAAGAAAGAAGATGGGGTGAGGAAGGGCAGCATATGCCACATAAGATTGATTATGTTTTCACCTCTTTGGTTTTTCAACATTTTCAGGGGACGGTTTGGTTTGTGGCTAGATGCTGATTTATACCATGGACGAAGCAACTCCTGCAGCACTTTCAATAATGATATTCTTTCCAAAAAGGAAGACTTCATAGTTCAGGACCTCGAGGTATGGACATTTGAGTGAAACTCAGACTGCCTTAAAATAAAACATGAAAAATACTGGGTTCAACCAGCCTTTCAAACACCGGCTGGAAGATGAAGCGTCAGCCCAGAATGCCTCATCCCTCCATCAAGCTTTCTTTCTGCCATCATCTCAGAGCATGACCACACTGCAGGAAGATTCTGAAGGGCACATGTGGAGGGCAGACACTGAAGTTTGAAGTCCAGATTGTTGGAAAACTTTAAACTCCCACTTCCTTCAAATCCATCCAGTGAGGGATCAGAGTATTTATAGATGTATGAGTTGAATGCAATTTTTATTTTTGGTAACTGTGAAAAAAAAAGATACTGTGGAAATATATACATGCCTTGTGTATTTATCAACATAATTTTCATTACCAAAATGTACAGCATACTGTTGTTTGCCATGGAAAGGTTAGTCTCATTTAGAAAAATTGAAGGTGCATAGCACTTAAAGGGAATAAATGATTTTTTTTTAAAAAACTATCTTATTTATTATGTCCAGTATATTGTCTGAAATGTGTTGGCATTTTTTTCTTTTAATGTGTAAAATCTTGAGATAAATGTTCACATTTTGTGCTATGTTTTGGCAACAAATCCATTTGATTTATATAGTTTTATATTGAATTTTTTTTTTGCCCTGATTGTTTAGGGTGATAGGTCTTAAGTAGCATATATATCTATCTATATATGCATAATTCTGAATTTTTAAAAACTCATTACCATTGTTCATTGATTTGACTTTTGTTAGACTGGTTTCCCAATGAGTCATTAAAAAGGTACATTTTTAGTTACTTACTAGGGACATCATTATGTAAAAAAGAATAAGCCATTTCTCACGCTCTTAAGTTGGTATTTATAAAGTAAATACCTTTATGAAGCCAGACTTAGGACAAATCCTGCTTTTAAAAAGAAAACATTTTGCTCTTTTAAATTCATGTGTGTTAATAACAAAAACTTTATTTTCATAGTGTTTTTTGCATTTCCCCCAACTTTTTACATTAACAAACAGGCCCCTGTTTTACAACAGGCCTCTGTTTTAAAAGGATCTGGGTGTTTTAATTTCTTCATATATTATATCAAATGAAAAACATCAAATTGTCTTGGTCCCTGCCTCTTCTACTAGAGAAAAAGCAATGCAAAGAAATGCATTAATACCAAAATTTGGGGAAATAAAACCATTTTTAACAACCCATTTCCATATCATAAAACATTTCTTAAAAATAATAAGAAAGTCTGTTAAAAAAATGACAAATATTGCTGATTACCAGACTTTTATGAAAGCCAAAGACTTAATGGAAAAAACTTTCAAACAAGAGCCAAAGCTGAGAAGTGGTCTGTCATAAATTACATCTCCAGTGATCTTTGAAAGGAAAGCTTAATAACAAGTATTTGTATACCTGCATTAAAAATAAAAGTTCTTATTTAGTTGAGTGTCTTCTTTTTTTAAAAACTATTCTAAAGAAGAACAAATCTCCAAGTGGCCTCCTGTCAGATCAATGATTATTTTACTCCATTCACATTCCATGCAAGTTTAAATGATGCTAAAAATTGTAAATCTGTAGCCTGGGTGTGCTTTCACCCAAGTTCACTTATTGAGAACTCTCGATTAACAACATACTGGCCGTTTGACCTTAATCTGCTTGTTAAATAATGTGTTGGTGTGAGATACCAGGAATGTCTCATGGTGATCACATTTACCATTTATACCATTTGCAACCATATGCAATTAATAAACAAAATGGTCATTTTGCATATAGTTCACTCTTACCTAGTTTAGTCCATGATATTATAATTGTGAGAGCATATCCCAATGCTGTGTTCTCTATTTAAAACAGTATTGTCCAATCAAAAATGTGTGGCCCTTCATTTATGGATACTGAATATATGTAATGCAGTGCTATCCCAATATTTTCAATAAAGGAATTTATGCACACAGTGTGATTTTCTTCCTGAGGATTCATTCAACAGGTACTTGTTGGATGCTAGAGTTATTTTGTGTGAAAAGATGATGAAATATTCCAGATTAAATAAGATCCAGTGCTCATGTATTCATTGCCACCCTAGAAATTCCTTCTTCATTCCCTGTGATCACCTTCATATTGTCGCATCAGTTCAAGTAAACTGCCCCTGTTATAATTATTAATAATTATACCAGTTGTTTTCAGTCCTTTACCTACCAGTTGTTTTCAGTCCTTCAGACTGTTCTTTGAAAAGTGGCCTCTCTTCCTTTTAACATCTCTCTCTTGACCTGCTTCCTAAGTTCCACGACAATCACCTTATTCTCTGATCAGTTTTCTTTGGCATCCTTTCTCCTAAAACTTAAAAATGAAGACTTCAACAATCTTCATTGCATCTTAGTTCCTCAGTTTGTGAGTCTATATCAAAGGACATGGGTGCTGAAAATGATTTAGCTGCAATCCCATGGTATAAGCCACTATGGACAACCTAAACAAATACAGGAAATATTATTGCCCTTCAATTGATTTCCCTTTCCTTTTTATGATTCCATTTAAAGTTTTAAAGGCATGTGAAATAAGACTAATAAGAATTGTAGCTGACCCTTGAACAATGCAAGGGTTAGAGGCGCTGACCCCATGCAATCTAAAATCTCTACATAATTTATAGTCACTTGGTTCTCTGAATTGGCAGGTTTGACATCCAGGGATTCAATCAACTGACATCTGAGGTCGGTTGAATCTGTGAATGCAGAATACAGATAGAAAAACATTTGCGTTAGTGGACCCCACATAGTTAAAACCTGTGTTGTTTAAGGGTCAACTAAACTTCCCTTTTGAGGACGGCATTGAAAATCTCTTAAGCCAGAAAGGGAACCTAAGATTCATGTTCTCCTTAGGATGCCCAAGTTTTACTAATTTAATGAAAAAAAGAAAGGCTAGGAGCTCAGAAACCAATGGAAGTTCTGAAACTCAAGGTCAGCAAAATTCACCCCTTGGGCAAGCATCAAAAGTGCTCCTGACTATTTTATTCGGCCCATTTAGGTGAGATGCTCCTCATTCAGGGGATGCTCAAAGTTCAGAGCATCATATCCTCTACTCCCTATTTCCTTACTTGTGACCATTATCCATAAAGATCCACTAACTGAAGGTGCTTACTGAGAAAATTAGACTTTACAATTCACACCAAGATCTAAGGTCTCGTTGTCTTCTATCTTCAAACCTCTGACTCATAATAAAAACTAGACAGGCCTCCTTTGGTGTGGACAATCAAGCCACCAAATGGTGTTTCTTGACAGACTATCTTTCAGGACCTATTTATCTTCTAAATCAGTGCTGCTCAATAGAATGTCCTACGACGATGTAAATGTTCCATGAATTTGCACTGTTCTGTATGGTAGCCACTGACTACTGTACTAGTGCTGAACACTTGAAATGTGACATGGATGACTGAGGAGCTGAATTTTTTTTTTTATAAACTTTAATTCATTTAAATTTAGCCAAATGTGGCCAGTAGTTGCCATATTGACAGTACAGCTCAAAATCAAAATTTGGCCCAGCCAAATCATTTTCATCAGCAATGGATTCAGGACTGTTAATGCTGCACCAAAAGTAAACCTTTAGTTCTAAGTATTTTGAGTTGCCTCTGCTGTTACAGATTTTTGCACAGCTTGGTCCTATCTAAATTAATAGTCTCCCATTGGATAGTCAGCTAATAAAGTGACCACTGAGTATTCTGAGAGTCTTTCCAGGATTTCTCTAGGATTAATACCCATCTCTAATTAAAAGTAATGAAAATTTGTCCCAGTGGCTAGGCTTTGTTTTATGTAAGATTTCCTGCATTGGCCATTGGCACACATTTTTTTCCTATACCGTACATTCTGGCCCAGGCACCCTGGTAGGATAGCTTTTCCCTCACCAGGCACCCATCCAAAATGCATGATGGACCACAAGAAGAAAAGATAATTTATTCATTACACAGAACTGTGCATTCAGTCTCAGAACCATCAAGAAATAACGGAACCACCAAGAATGCCTGAGATAGTTCTATTCAACATCCAATCTTCCTTGCTAAGTTTGCCAGCTGGGATGCCCACTAGCCATATGCACTCCCAGAGAACCTGCCTGTATGTAGAGGAAGTTTTCAATATTAAACTGTTAGAATCAAGGCAATCAAAAGGTAATAGAGACTATTACATAACCTTAGCGTCCTATTGAACCACTAACGAGGGACCATCAACCACTCAATTTCTAGGGTTACAAAAAGGAATCCTAATCTAGCTTAACATAACCCTTGAGGAAAATGCTAAATAAGTACATTCGCATTCAACATTCTTGGATGATAAGGCAAGTCTTAAATCTCTGCAGCAAAAAAATCTCTTTGAAATACTCTGAAAACTTTGGAATTCAGCCAATCAGTTCACTTCAGTTCCCAGGGCAGGGGATGAGGAGTCATCTCACATAACAGCAGAGTGTGTCAATATCTGAGAGCAGAACTTTCAAAATCTGTTAGGACAGTTTACTTGAGTAATATATTTTCAGTTTTGAAGAGGTAAAATATATAAACAAAAAGAAGATAAAGCTGTGAATCTGAGGGAATGGCCTTAAAAGCTGGTGATAGTTGATGAGAGCAACTGTGCTTTCAACTATATAGCACAGGACACAAAAGGGGGCAGAGCATAGGGAGGTGCATACAGGTATGTATGGAATCCTGGGGAACTCGCTAGGAGAAGCTAGAATGCTACTTCCAAAATGGCTGTCAGCATGTTGAAAGGTGGGGAGAATAAGCAATTTTTGTTTGTCAAGTATCAAAGGAAATGATATCCTTGGGGGAAAAGGCAGGTTTCAGTTAAGGCAAAGAAGGTGAAGGTATAGTTCTATGAAGAGGACGAGTATATAGAGTGTTTTCAATATAATTGTCTTTACAGTGTAAATAGTTTCAAAAGAAGTCAGCAATAAAAAATGTAAGAAAATCCTAGGACAGTTTGGGTATGAGTAAAGGGAAATTTTTTCTATGAGGATAATTAATAAGAACAAGAATGAATTTTATAGATGGGCTTTATTGGACTTGAGATTATGGTAAAATTCAAATGTAGACTTGACTTGCAGAAAATTAGCTTGCAGATCCTGGCAGAGCGCTAATTGACACAGTGGCATTTTCTATTGATTTGGATGTTCCTATTGACTTGGATGTTACTTATGTTACCAAAGGGGCTGAAAGAGGAACCCACTCTGTTACCCACCTGTGTAGGCTGTATCCCATCTTAACCATTTCTAAAATACAGGTACCAATATCTACTTCCCTGAGTTCTTTGATTTGAGAATCAAATTTTTGTATATGAAAGTCCGTTAGATAATTATGAAATGCTAGACAAAGGTAGTATTGTCATGGTGTTAGTCACATTACACTGTTTATGCTGAATTCTTTATTCGAAATGCAAAGTCCAAGCATAACCATGTTCCTGATAAAAAGTAGGAACGCTTTTGGTGGTTTGTTTGAACACCTGGCTTTTAGGAAATAATTATTTTAAAAAGCCTACGAGTCTATATTATATTGTGCAGATAGTGAACAAAATAATTTATTCAGGGAAGTGGCGGGAATGGGAAAGAAGGGATTTTTTTTTCTTTTGTTATTCTCTCCATTACAAAGGGTTTATAGTTTCCACTTCAGAACAACAGATTAAGACTTCCTTTAAAGTCCTGTAGCAAAGCTTAGGTAGTCACAAGTTGGGCCTCTTGGCCATATGCCAATATTTGTCAATGAGACCTGTAAGTTAGGCAATTTAATCATCAGAAACTGGAAATTTCTCTTTTCCCACACATAAGCATTCCCCCCTCCCCTTCCTTTGCCTAGACATTTCACTCATCTGACAGATAGAGGTCAATATACACGAAATAGTTAGAACCAGGAAACCATCACTTTAGAATTAAATATTTTCATTTATACTATTTTTAAGAAGAAATATGTTCATGCTTGTTTTCTTTTACTTTCATAAAAATCTAATATTCTTGAAACATTTGTAAAATAACAAAGTTATTTACTAAAATATAAGAGAGGAAAGGTCTTTGTATTTATATTCAGGAAATTTCTATTTAGGATGCCAAAAAGGGGGTCTGCTTTTGAGATGATACTTACGAGATTAAGATAAACTCACCAACCACTTTCCATATCCTCACTGTAAAATGGAAAGAAACACATCACTGTATTAACGTATAGTTGTAGCAGCTCTGCATCTACAGTCCATTTCCTCCAGCAATAGCAAGAAATCTGCCTGAAAATGCCATGTATCTTCTGACATCAGGGTTGAACAAAATTTGTGGAATGAGATTATAAAACAGAATGATTAAAGGAAGTGAAGTTTATCTGGAATCCTGAACTTTCAAAATTTGTTAGGATATTTTCCTTAAGTAATATATTTTCATTGTTGAAAAGGTAAAATATATAAACAAAAAGAAGGAAAAACTTCAAGTTATAATGTATCCATCTAGAAATCACAAGGTAAATCTATTTGGTACATATCCTTTCAGGCACATCTTACAAATCCATATATATTTATTTAAAGAAGCATGGACTCATACTAGACATACCATCTTGTAACCTATTGAACATGCATGTGTCAAGTATTGTGGACAGTCAGTCAGCGACTAATGGAATGGCTTTGGGCAAGTAATGAGATGAGGTTTGAACAGAGAGCTAATAGGATGTAGCACTGGCAGGATTGGGTGGTTGCAGTGAGGATCATAAGTTGTCAACATAAGTGGTTTGTAGCAAGATTCAGACTGAATTGCAGTTCAATCTCGGACATCTGAGTGGAAATATAAAGTTTGCAGTTGGATTTTGACTTGAAGAAAGGTATGAGTAAGGTGAAAAATGTGGGAGTCATGGGCCTATTGTGTTTTGAGACTAGATGAGATCAAGGAGTAAAGTACATAAAGAAAAGCAAGGAGCATTCCAACATGAAGAATTTAGAGGAGAGCTACAAAGAAAGGAAATTTCACTTATGATAAAAGTAGAGTTAGAGGTGGTCGAGAAACTACGAGTTCATGCAGCTTCCTCAGATTGCTAGGAAGGGAGACATCTGAGTAGATGAATGATATGCATTTACTTTGGTTAGCAACTCTTGCTCTTATGCTCAGATGTTCTGGCATTTCTGTTCCCTTGATCTTTATCAGTGTAGTTTGTGGTCTTTGATAGTCTTTGTGTATCTTTTTTCTTGTGAATAGTCTGTAGGGTCTGTTCATAACTACTGTTTAATTCATTTACTACCATTCTCTCATAAACCCACTTGGATGAGGTTTCTTTGCTTACACTCACAGTAAAACTGTTATTAGTAGCTTTACCAATATCCTCCTCTCAATTTCCAATCCTCTTCTCCTCTTCCTGTAGCCTCTGATAGAGTTGATCACTTCCTGCTACTTGAAACCCTCTTTGCTTTACCCCCAATACACTGATTTCTCCTGGTTCTCCTCTTGGTCCTCACAGGCCACTTTTTCTCAGTCATGTTTGACCATTTTTCATTTCTCTGACTTCCAAATGGTAGATCACCCCACGGTTAGTTGAACTTTCCTCTTTTCTAGTTATACTTGCTCCTTTGGTGATTTCCTCTAATTTCAAAATGTAAATACTATGTTAAAGATTCTAAAATTTACATCTCTAGCTTAAGCCTTTCTCTTGAATTTCAGGCTCCCATATCCAGTTACCTAGTGACATTGCCACTTAGATGTCAAATAAGCATCTGTAGCAGATTCAGCTTCGAAATATTTGGGGCTGGGCCTCCCTGGTGGCGCAAGGGGTTAAAACGCAACCTATGAAGCAATCCACAGCCACTGTAACACAAGTTCGATCCCTACCCAAGGAGCTACCCATATGCTGCAGCAGACCTCCCTGACTTGCCTGCTGCTCCCCTCAGCAGTGTATTTCAGTCGCTTTGGCTGTTCCCCACTTTGTCTCTGGTGAATCCTCTCACCGCCTCCCATTCACCTCTGGCCTGTACCCCAGTTCTTGTATGCATAAATAAATAAATCTTTCAAAATATTTGGGGCCTTTTCCAGTACTAGGAGTATATTTAACTCTATTCTGCTGGTATCAGAGTTGGCCACACAACTTGCTTTAGTCAATGATATGTAAGTAGAAGTGACATGTACCAGTTCTGAGTAGAAACTTTAGGTCCATCATATACCTCCATCCTGCTCTCTCTCTTCTCTGTTCTGACATCAGAAACATTCCAGATAGAGGCTGCTCCATCAGCCTGGGTCATGGAATGAAGGCTGTACAGTCACAGATGACCTTTGGTGGACACATGTGTGAGAAATAAAGAATTTTTTTTTGTTGTTGAAAGGCATTAAAATTTTTGAGTTGTTAACTATAGCAAACTTACTCTAAACCGATTGATAAAGCATCTCAAATTAATATACCCAGACCTGAATGCCTGGTTCTCCCTGTCCCCACAGTTCCTCGTCTGGAAAATTGCAACTTCCCCTTCCAGTTTTCCGACTAAGGCCCTTGAAGCTGTCCTTAATTACCCTCTGTATCTCACATTCCACATTTAGGCACTGGGGATACTTCAATAAACTAAAAGCAGACAAAAATGATAAAAATTCCTGTTGAGATTATATTCAATAAGGAGCAAAGAAATAAAGGTAAATTAAATAGGTACTATTTAAATACAAATATTTAACAATATTACTATATAATATAAATTATGTAGAAGGTAATGGATGCAATGGAAAAAATAGGGCAGGATAAAGGGTAAGGTAGTACAGGAGATACATGTGAGAAGGTGGCTTGCAAATATGATCAGAATTGACCTCATTGGGGAAGAAACATCTGAACAAAGACTTGAAGGCGAGATTAGTAATTCAAATGACCAGTTGTAGAAAGAGAATTCTGAGGGAGGGCTGGCACGAAGGTGTGGTGGGACCATGTGCATGCCGATCAGGTACAAAGAACAAGTAAAATACAATAATAAACTTCACATAAGAAGAAAAACCAAAAACCAAACAAAATCTACTCATTTACTTCTATGAAGAATGTGAAACAGAAATTTTGATACAGCTGGTGCTATTAACAACAAAAAAAAATGTAAACACAATGAAATTTTGTCTTGGACATACTCAGCATCAGCACCTAAAATTACCGTGGCTGAAAACTCATATGCAAAGCGCCAGAAACAGTTTCTGTTAAAACAGAGCGCTAGAAGTTTTAGTCACTCTGAAAATCTACGATATTTTCAAAGCTTTACTTTTTTTTTTTAATAGAGGCATGTTTTATTTATTTATTTGTTTGTTTGTTTTGTTTATACAAGCACTGGGTACAGTCAGAAGCGCGGGAGGGTGAGAGAATTCACCAGAGCCAGAGCGGGGAGCAGAGCAGGCAGAAGGACCGAAGTACACTGCTGAGGGGAGCAGCGGGCGGCAGGAGAGGTCTGCACGCCATGTGGGACCCTCCTCCGGTGGCCGGGGAGCAGCCGGGGATCGAACCGGCGCCGCAGAGGCCGCGGGCAGCTTCGCAACCCAGCGCTCAACCGCTGCGCCACCAGGGAGGCCCTAATTTTTTTTTTTTAAGATTTTTATTTATTTATGCATACAAGAGCTGGGGTACAGGCCAGAGGTGCACCCCAAAGCTTTACGGCTTTAACTACAGCGCATTGCGCTGTCGGGTTCCCTATACCACGGGCTGCGGGCAACGCACGTACAGGGCGCTCCAGCTCTCGGGAGTCAGGGCGCGCTGCGCGTCACGTCACGCCACGCGGGGTACGCGCTTGCGTCGCGGTGGACGTCGTGCGTCCTCACCGAAAGGACGCCGGGCGGGGCGGGGCGACTCCGCAGCCTGCCCCTCCCGCGGGCGCCCATTTACGCAGTCGCGCGCCCCCCGACGGCCGCCGCTTTGAGGCCAGCAGCCGGCTCGGCCGCCCCGCGTCGAGCGCGCCCTCCCTCTAGCGTCGGCGGGGACCCGAGCGGGGCGTCAGCTCCCTGCCTGGGCCGGCGCCTGGCGAGGGGCGACGCGCCGAGGTAGCGCCGAGGAGGTGCAGGAGGCGGGCCTCGCGCAGGCCGCGTCGACCCGGAGCCGCCCGGCCCCGGCCGCGGAGGGCGGGCGCGATGGCCGAGGACCCGGCGCGCGATGATGGCGCGCAGTCGGCGGCGGCTGCGAGGCCTCCGCTGTCCGCGCCGGACGCCGCCGAGACCGCCTCCAAGTCGCCGGGGCGCGAGGACTACAAGGGCACGTGCGTGTTCTGCCGGATCGCGGCGCGGCAGGAGCCCGCCACCGAGCTCCTGCACTGTGAGGTGGGCGGCGGCGCGCCCGCCCCGGGCTTGGGCACCCCCCGGAGCTGCTCTCCGGCGGGGGAGCGTGACCAGCGTATCTTCGCCTCCCCTCGGGGAGAATATGTAGTGATAGAGCCAAATTGTTCGTCCCCTCTCGGCAGGTGCGAGGGACTTGGCAGCAGATGGCATTTATAGCCTCTATTTTCATTAAAGGAATTCATGCACCCCTTAGTATCCCCCTCCCCACGCCTGCGCCTTTTCAGACTTCTGTTTTTACATTCTGTGCACTCAGACAGACCCCGAAGGAAAAACTAATAGAAAATAGACTTTGGCGCTTGCGAAAGACTTGTTTGTCAGGTTGAATGAAGTTAAGTAGGGAGGCGTGGGTCTGAGACTGAGCACTTAATAGCATCCGAGCTCCCTGGAAGGGTGCAGTGCTTGGAAGTGTTGACAGTTGGGCAGACTTTCAGGGCAGTAAAATTTTAGCCAGGTATGTTAAAGTAGATCTCTGGTTCACAAATTTCTTCTCCCAGTTCTACTTGCCTGTAAAGAACCACCTTGTGAGAGAATCTGCTCCAAAGATTTTTTTTTTTTTTTTGGTAGTAGTTGTCTTTTTAACTTGTTAAAAATTAATTCCTTCTGAATATAGCAGTAAATGTAAATTCCCTGCTCTGGTGGAACTTACCTTCTACTCACAGGAAATAGGTAAAAAGCAACATAATAAACAAAATATATAGCTTACTAGATGGTGAAAACAGAAGAGGGAGAAGATGTCATGTTAAAATTTTTGTCAGAAAAAAATTGCATGCAGAAGGTGGCATTTAAATGAAGCCTTGAAGGAGATGAAGGAGCACAGTCTCTTTGAAATCAAAGTCTGTAGTAGTTCCCCTGGAGGCCAGGAGAGAGGATCAGGAAACAGAAGGGTTGTATGGTGATGACTGTCAGTTGAGGTTGAAGACTTTCAGCTTGACACCTGCTAAGCTCTAAACGCAACCCCCTCCCCCTCAACAGAAGCAGCCCAAGTCTGGTTTCAGAGAAGGTGGGCAATTCTGTCACCTACTGTCCCCAAGGTCATATGGGTGTTACGCAAGTGCAAGTACAGTAGGAGAAAGGTCAGGGTTTATGGCTATAGAATCCCTGGATAGGCCATTGAATCTACTAGATTGACCCCCAATACTAATGATTTCTGAGCTGGAAGCATTAAAGAAATAATGAAAACTTTAAACAATCAAAAACGTTGTGTCCTTGTCCTTGATCTGATTCCTGTTTAAAACATTCCATAGATGTCAATGTTTAAAGTTACTATTAGACAGAAAGCCATTAAAATTGTTGTGATTGTCAATTTTTTTTATATTTTAACAGCTTTTTAGACAGAAGGTATGTGAGGACAGCAACAAAGGCAATATTTAAACAGTATTACAATAAAGTTGTATTGTGAGCAGTTTACAGAGTTTTGAGATAGGAAAGGGACACACACTACCTTGTTTTTCCTGCCTTCCATTTCAATCCTGCCACTGCTGATTGTTTAAAGTAACAAAAAGTCTGATTCTCTGAAGTGTGGTTTCACTGGAGGTCCACTTGTCACTTTGTGCTTACTGATAAGGAAGTTCATGTGCAATATATACAGTTGCATCCCACCATTCTCATTGAAACCATGATTACTGCTATGGATATGAGGCCCTCATTCAAATTCATTTTTGGTTCTAGAATGGAGATCTAATGATTAATAGTGTATTCTAGGGATTTTTTGGTGGGGACCTTAATGATTTCATTTAATTTTGACAATTTTTTCATGCAAGATACTGAATAAGGTTATTTAAGTACTATAGATGGTTCTTCTTGAAAAGAACAATGCCAAATGTTAGTAGGTTGAAAGATTCCCTTCCTTTGTTTTTTTTTTTTTTTTTTTTTGTACCTTATATTACTATAATGTATGGTGAATAGTGTGTAAACCAGAAAACTGATGCCATACATGTAAGAGATTGGGCTTACAACTCAGAATAAATGGATTTGTTACAGTATTTCAAAGTCTTTTGAATGCTATCAAATAGCAAGTGGACATAAAGACAAAACATTTGTATATAATTGCTACAGAATATTTTAAAATGTAACCTTGGATATGTAGATGCTGGATGGTGTTTTTGTTATAATTGCAGAAAATGCCACTTAGGAAAAATTGTGCATATGAAAAAGAATTTTTCATTCTTGCTATGATTCTATATTACAGTCTTTGAAAGGACATATAAGAGTGAAAGAACCTTAAGGTAGAAATGGAGAAAGATGTAATAAAATAAAAAAATACTCAGGGATTATTGTTAAATGAAGTTTTTGTTGAACTTTGTAATTGTTTTCCTGAAATTGACTTTATAGAAGTCTTTTTACTCTCTGGAATAAATGAGCAACTCATGAAGGAAGCTAAAACTTATTTTTATGAACTTAGTGCATAATCACAAAATTGCCCAGTGGAACTTACTTAAGTACCAAATTCCTATCAGACTGTGATTTGCGATGTTTAAGTAATATAAGACCTGCATTAGGAAATTTGTTTTTAATTTACTAACAAATATTTTTTTCCTTTAGAATGAAGACCTCGTTTGCTTCAGAGATATCAAACCAGCAGCACCTCATCATTATCTGGTGGTGCCAAAGAAGCATATTGAAAACTGCAAAGAGCTAAGAAAAGATCAAGTAAAACTGAGTAAGATGGTGTCACTATTCTTCATGTTTATTCATCTTGCATTAGCATTGGCTAATCACAATTATGATGATTAGAAAGAAAAAGTATAACCAGGCGCTACAGAAAAAGGAGGATTATGACTTTTTGAAACTTTCATTATGGAAATGTCAAATATAAATAAAAATAAAGCAGTAGAGTCTCCTTTTATTCATTACCCAACTTCATTAACTCGTGGCTAGTCTTGTTTCATATATTTTCTCAGTGAATTTGAGGCAAATTCCAGGCATCATGTTATTTAATCTTTAAAATTCTGAAAGATAATACCTCTTTATGATTTTTTAAATTGTACCTTTTCTTGACTCAAATGGTAAAATGAAAAGTTGTAAAGAAATAAGTTGTAATATAGCATATAAGTTTATATTGCCTGTGGTCTCTGAGACCACGTTGGTGATCACCTTATAGTTTCTTATGTAGGTGAATTAGCACCAAAGTTTAATTACGAAATTTTGGTGATGAACTTTAGCCTCCAAAAAGGAAATTCCAAATCTCATGTCTTGCAGGATTATCCTCTATTTTCCTACGTGTATCTTCAGTGACTTGTCAGCTATCACTTATCAAGACATTTCTAAGTTCAATTCAAATCTGCTTTGATAGCCTCTGTCACCAGAGCCTGGGATTAGTTTGGTTAACACTTTATGGTATCTTTTTAAGGTAGGTAAATTGTGCCTGACTTTTTGAAGGTAAAAAAAATATATATATATATAATATATATATATATATATATATATATCTTTCTTGGAAAACTTTTATATGTAGTTCATATCTGTTCAGGCGACTGAATTACCAGTTTTTAAGCCTCTCCTCTCCCTTAAATATTGCAGTTTCTTACTCATGAAGTTCTGTCAGCAGATGGCAATCTATGTCCGTGCAATAGTACAGGCAAGAAGTAGCCACTGTAGCCTTAAGTATTTCCTTTTACACTTTTTTTTTTTCTTGAGGAAGAAATGTGTTCTTGCTTATTTTTCTTTTTCAAGTATTTCTTTCATGTTAAAAGCTTTTTATAACGTTGATTTTGAAGCAGCGCAGTGGTATTTTGGGATTTCTTATTTTTGAATATATTTGAATATTTCCATAGTAAAAGTTTAAAAGTTTATAGTTAATAATTTTGTACAGTCTATAAAACTGGGAAAATAAGCAAATGGAAGAGCCCAATAACATTGTCAGGCCCTTTGACTATCACTGACATTTACAGAACCCCCTCTAATGATTATTATTATTTTTTTTTTTATAGAGGCATGTTTTATTTATTTATTTATTTATTTGTTTGTTTGTTTGTTTGTTTATACATGCACTGGGTACAGTCAGAAGCGTGGGAGGGTGAGAGAATTCACCAGAGCCAGAGCAGGATGCAGAGCAGGCAGAAGGACAGAAGTACACTGCTGAGGGGAGCAGCGGGTGGCAGGAGAGGTCTGCGCGCCATGCGGGACCCTCCTCTGGTGGCCAGGGAGCAGCCAGGGATGGAACCGGTGCTGCAGAGGCTGTGGGCAGCTTCGCAACCCAGCGCTCAACCGCTGCGCCACCGGGGAGGCCCTGTAATGATTATTTTAAGAGCACCTGTTTCACCAAGATAAAACATTTTCTGGGCAATAAAATAAGGCTCATTACGTTTTAAGTGTCAAAATAGTATAAAGTATATTCTCCAATAATAATAGAATTAAATTAGAAAATAGTAAAATCTGGAATAGCACTATTTTAAAATTAATGCACTAACTGTAAATAAATAATTCAACCATAGAAAATATTTAGGATTAGTAACAAAAGTTTAGTATAACAAAATTTGTGAAATGTGCTTGAAGCAATTCCTAGAGAAATTTTAGTTTTAACTGCTTATATTAGAGGGGGCCTCCCTGGTGGCAAAGGGGTTAAAGACACAGTGCTCTCAGGCTATAACCAGCCACTGCCATAAGCTGTGCAACATGAGTTCAATCCCTGGCCAGGGAGCTAATCCATGTGGCATAGCAGACCTCCCCTGTCTCATCTGCTGCTCCCCTCAGCAGTGTATTTCAGTAAGTATGCCTGTTCTGTTCCTCACTCTGTCTCTGGTGGATCCTCTCACCCCCCCGCCCCCACCTCACACACATACCTCTGGCCTGTACCCCAGTTCTTGTATCAAATGAATAAATCTTTTTTTGAAAAAAGCTTATATTAGAAAGGGTTTGAGACCAATGACTTAAGTTTCTACTGTAAGACAGTGAGCAAATCAGACCATAATAAGTATAAAGGACAATATATGAAAAGTAGATATCAACAAAACAATAGATTTTGCTTTATATATTTTTGATTTGTGTTTAAGTGAATACATAATTATGAATACATAATGATTATTGCCATATCTTCTCCATTAAATGTTCCATTTTTAGTGTTACAGACTCTATATATGGAAATACTTTTTTAGTCTGTGTTGTGTGACCACTCCAGATTTCTTACTACTACTTGTTAGCACTGCTTATTTTTTCTGTCCTTTACTTTCAGTTAAAATGAGTGTTTGTATTTAAAGACTTGAAGATGGCAATGCAATTTAATCTCGCTTTTCCCCCCCAAATGGTATGAAAATCTTTCAATTGAAGTGTTTAGATAGTTACAGTAACATTTAAGATGACTGTTGACATAAGTAATATTAGGCCTGCCATTTTGCCATTTACTCTCTATTTGTCCCATTTTTTCCCCCTGAACTTTCATGAATATATTTTTTTGTATTCTACTTTGGCTTATTTGTTGCCTTATTGCTTGTTGCATTACCTTTTTTAAGTGTTTTTTCTAGAGAGATTACAGTGTACATCCTGAAATAATTATAGCCTACTTATAATTATTATATTGCTTCATATAAAATGTGAGAGACATTGGAACACTTTGTGTTATTGTTGTCATGCATGTTGTACCAAATATGTTATAATTTTGTAATATTGTTAAAATTATTGCTTTTCTGACTTGAACTAACTTGGGAGTTTTTTTTTTTTTTTTTTTTAAGCTATGGTATTGGCTTGTCATTGTTGTCTGCTAGGCTGCCAACTCAAGCTGTCTTGGAAAAGTAAACATTAGCAGCCTTTTATAAACCTCATTGTAACAGTTCTCTGTAGATTTTTATCACTTCTTCCCTTTTCAAACATGTGGTTACAACATTCAGAAACAAAGATGTTTACTGTTTGACATTTGTGTTTTGAAGATCACAACTTACACAATTTTTCTAATGGGGAGGCATATTCCCATTTGACAGCCATAAAGCACTGAGAAAAGAAAGATGCTAAAGCAGATGGAGTTTGGAAGCCGGTACAATTAACAAATGTTTAGCTACTCAAGGCCAGCAGCAATTTGAACTCAAAAACAAATTCAAACTTGTCCTGTTAGTCTGCTTAATTCAAACAATTTCTGTTTAATTACTTGGTCTCTTTAGGATTAGAATTAGACCTCAGTAGGAGCAGATGTCCTAAATAGTCACTTTATAACATCCCTCAGCACCTGTTCAAAATCAGCTTGTGTGAGACATTTTGTGGTATGGTGTTATACTGGGGCTTATTTGAACCTTCACTTCAGTTGTTGAGAAGCAAATGTCTCAGTAACTTAGAGCTATTGAATGAGTCTTCAAATGTTTACTCAGTGATATAGCTGTTTTCTAGGACCCTGAAAGGTAGGATTAATAGAAATTTATTGAATGTGATGTCTCATAGTATTATGTAATTTCTTGTTTTATAGTTGAGAGCATGGTAACTGTTGGAAAAACCATTCTTGAAAGGAATAATTTCACCAACTTTGAAAATGTGAGGTATGTACACATTATTGGTTCTGAAATGGTATTTCCTCATGGAATGTAAAATCAGAGGTGGTAAAGGTCATGGTTTAAATGCACTTTTCCTGAAAGTGAGCATACAGTTCTGTGATAGTATAAATTTAATAAACAAAACTTTGTTTCATGACCCAACATCTTCCATTAATCACCACTAAGTTTAGAAAAATATGTCCAAGCAGTTGGTAGGTAAAATAGTCTGGAGTTGGGCCTCCCCTGGTGGCGCAGTGGTTGAGCTGCCTGCAGCCTCTGCAGTGCTGGTTTGATCCCTGGCTGCCAGCGAGAGAGTCCCACATGGGGCGACAGACCTCTCCTGCTGAGCTCACTGGTCCCCTCAGCAGTGTATTTTGTCGGTCTGCCTGTTCTGTTCCCCGCTCTGGTTCTGGTGAATTCTCTCACCCTCCCGTGCTTCTGACTGTACCCAGTTCTTGCATAAATAAATAAATAAATCTTTAAAAAATAAAATAGTCTAGAATCTACTTTCTTTGTCCAATATGTGCTTTCCTATAAAACTGTGTCCCTAAAATAGAATTCCCTTAGAAAAAATGTTATTTTATATGACTTAAAAATGTACTTCTAGATAAAATTAAGTTTACTTCATTTCCTACTGAACTGAACTTGGGCATTCCCCAAAATTTGACAAATTCCATTTGTCAGTTGTTTGAATTAATCTGAAAAAAAGTTTTTTTCTTTTTAAAAGATATCAGACATTGCCTTGTGTGACCAAGGCAGTACCAAGGCAAGTATAGTAGAGATTACTACTAACATTCTAAGTGGAATTCAGAAAAGACCTGAATTCTGATGCTATCAATACAATTTGCTATATGTTTATACTGATTGAGTTACTGTAGACAAGTCACTTAGCCTCGCTAAAATATTACTCGATTGGGTAGGCTCAAATGAGATTATGTGTGTGAAAATTCTCTTAAAACTGTTTAAAATCACTCTCCAAGGGTGATAATAAAATGGGAAAAAAGATGGTGTTGGGGCTCTGGTCAAAACCAACACATCCCTTCCTAGTCATATGAGTGCTTGTTAGGAAAATGAACATTGACTAGGAGTCAAGAACCCTGATTCTCAATCCCAGCTTTACATCTGCCTAACTTCATGACCTTGAGAAGTCATAAACTTTTTGAATCTTCATTTCCCCATCTTTACAATGAAATGATTGAGTGAACCCTTGAGATGCTTCTTGATTTTTAATTACTTGACTACATTATATGCATCCTGTTTCATAGAGGGAAACCTAGTCTCCTTTTCTTGTTAGCAGTGGAAGCTTTTCAGTATGTGCTGTATAACTGTCTCCATATTGTCAGTCCCAGGGGATCATTGCTGCTACATAGTACTCCTGTGCTGCTTTCCACACTCCCACTCACTCCTAGCTTAAGCAGGAAATTATTTTAAGTTTGGGTTATTGTTTCAGGTGTGCCTTGCTCTACTCAACATATGCAGACTTATACAACAGTTTGTAAACTGATTTTTAAATGATATTAACATTTTTTTGGTTTTTACTATTTAAAGCAATTTCCATGTAATTGAGTTATAAAAAATTATGACTAGCTATAATCTAATTTGTTTTCAGTATTAAACAAGAAAGTTAATGTTGATAAATTTTTTAAATGTGATTAATATCACTGCTGAAATTCTGGTTGGTAAGGATAAAAAATGATCTCTTTATTAAAAGAGAAAGCATGCCATCTACTGGGTATGTTTGGAATAAAGAAATGCTGATTCTACATGTGCCCAGATCAGTTGCAGAGAATTAAGGGACTATAAGGATTGGAGTGATAAGACATAAATGCTGACTCAGAATTCATAAAGGTTATATTAAGGCATAATATGTTGTTAAGATTTTCCTTGAAGATATTATGTAACTGTACTGTGAATTTTAATATGAATAGAAGAGGAAATGTATGAATACTTTGGAGTATTTAAATAAACAATGAAATAGATATATGAATGGCAATCTCATGGGTAATATATTTTGAATATATTTAAATTGACTTCAATTGTTATAAAACTAACATCTCAATGATTTCATGTCTTTCTGTTTTAGGATGGGTTTCCACCTGCCACCTTTCTGTTCTATTTCCCACTTGCACCTTCATGTTCTGGCACCAGCAGATCAGCTTGGCTTCGTATCAAGATTGGTTTATAGAATGAATTCCTATTGGTTTATTACAGTAAGTATTATTGTTGTACCAGCAGCATGTGTAGATATTTAAGATATTTGTCCTTTATGCCGTAATTGTTCTTTTCTTGGCAACAGTAGGCACTTACAACTCTCAAATATCAACCTCCTATAGCAGAGTAGTACATTGTTAAAATCCATGAAACTATACTGCACACCATTATTACCCAAATTCATTGGTTTATCTTTGGGGTTCACTTTAAGTGAAATTTCTGTGTCGTGTATTCTGTATGTTTGGACAAATATATAATGACATGCATTTAACCTTACAATGCCAAACAGAATAGTATGTCCTCTGCCTATTCATATCTTATACTCCCCTTAGTCTGTGGTAACCACTGCTATTTTTAATGTTTCTACAGTTTTGCCTTTTACAGAATATATTGTACATGGGATTATACAATATGTAGTCTTTTCAAATTGACTTCTTTCACCTAGTAATATTCACTTAATTTTCCTCCATGTCTAGTTTACTTTGAAAAAATTTAGGGCCTCCCCTGGTGGCGCAGCGGTTGAGAGCTGGGTTGCGAAGCTGCCCGCAGCCTCTGCAGTGCCGGTTCAATCCCCGGCTGTTCCCCGGCCACCGGAGGAGGGTCCCACATGGCACACAGACCTCTCCTGCCGCCCACTGCTCCCCTCAGCAGTGTACTTCGTCAGTCTGCCTTTTCTGCTCCCCGCTCTGGCTCTGGTGAATTCTCTCACCCTCCCGCGCTTCTGACTGTACCCAGTGCTTGTATAAATAAATGAAAATAAATCTTTTAAAAAAAAAAATTTAATATTTTCTTCTTTTTCTTTTGAAACTTTTAAATGAATATGTGGATAAAATTATACCTATTTGCATATTATGTGGAAGTCTTTTACTATAGTTTATAAAACTATCATATTGAGATTTTTTGTAAGATATTTTAAGGAACAGAGTATGTAGCTTCTTATAATAGGGATGCCAGTAGAATTATTTGATACAGACTATGATATTTAGAATACTTTTTTTTAATATTACAGGTTGATCATTTGCTTGAAAAACTAAGAACATGAAAATGTCAACAAGTGGAAGATTTTCCTAATCGTGGCTCAACATAAACTAATACTTGGTTTCTGTGAAGTCTAATTATAATTGTAAGTTTTGATGGGTTTTATCAGAGGTTATTAATGGGTTGCTTATATCTTTTCTGAATGTCTATTTCCTGAGATCTGTAATATAGTCACGTGACTACTTTGTCATTGACCTCTGTGTTTTCATGTTTATTTGTCTAGGGTATAAGATCCTATAGATGAAATCCCATTAAAACAAATTCTGTTAATCAAGAAGGGCTCTGTATTTTTTTAAAGTTCAAATATTTTTATTTCTCAGTAGATAGATAACTATAATAATGATTTATTTATGAAGAATTAACTATTATATAAAGCATTTTGCTGGAGCTTTTATTATGAAAAACAAAAAGAAATTAACTTTTTCTTTACAGTTGTGATTTTGCACATAAATCTTAAAATAAAGAATACTTTACTATACAGTGATCTTTGATCTTATTGATGGAAAAATTTCTAGGCTTGTCACTTTTTGCTGAGATCTCAGATGCTGGCTTTCATGTCTTAAAGTTTAGCATCTATAATAAATTGCTCCTGAAAGCTATATAACATATATAATATGATTTCTAATAGTGAATTTCCAGTGACTGTCAATGAGGCTATCCAGGAGAATTCACTGTAATGGAATTTTATCTACAAGAACATACATAAGGGGGAAAAAAACATAAAATGGTTAATATATTAACATATTAAAACTGGCAGACTTACTTTGTGGCTTAATTATTCTACCAAAGGAAAACTAGAATTAAAAAGTGGTGAGAACTAGCTATTGTCATGAAAAAGTCCTGTCTTGAAAGTAGAGATAGATAGACTTAGATAAGTTCTCTCAATAAATAATGTTAAAATTGTTGGCCTATTATTTCATGAAGTATTTCCTTAGGAATTGTCTTTTGATCCTAATCTACAATAACAATAGTGAATGTGATTGAAGCATAGGTATTGAGAGCTAATCCAACATTGTGTCAGTATATATCTTGCACATGACTGTAAATGAACATAAGGATTAAAGTCTTCATGTTAGAAATAGGCTGAGATGACTTTTTTTGGCACAATGCTAAATATAGTTTTAACTAATGAAATACTTATCCCAATGTTTATTACAACATCTAGAATCAACAGTATTTGGTTTGTTCATTTATTCATTCAGAAATCATTTGCTGCGCATTTAAAGTATACAAATTATTGCCAAGGTCAGGAAATAACAGAAGTGAGAACGGACGATCTGCTTTCATTTGCTAGAACAAGGGCCTTACAACACCAGTGATTATAATTTAGTGTGTTAAGCAAAATAATGTCCACAGAAGGGGGCTGTGGAAAGGGAAGCACTTTGAGAGTGGCAATAGAATTTTATTCAAGACTTAGCGTTAGGCAGGCAGACAGTGGAAGTTTAAGCCAGGAGATTCACATGTGTTTTTTTTTTTAGTTCTGTTTCCATTATTTACAATTGGAATTCCATTTTATTCACTAGAGGTGGAAAGAGGAATTTGGGAGAGTCAGTGGATCTCAAAATTAGATTGCAAGTTTTTCAGCATTGGTTAATTAAGTAGCTTACTGAGCACCTATGTAGAATAGAATTACAAGTTTCTATAAATCAGTTAAAATATGGCCAGCATCAGAAAAGGAATTTTCAATATGTTGTATTACATGAACTTGTAAGGATATAACTGACAATACTATGATAATAATATGAAGTATTTAAGGAATTCTGTGATGGCTTACAGAACTCTTCAAAAATGCTGTTAGCTGATTTAATTTATATAAGTGTATGCTCTTTCACAGTAAATTTTTCTTTGCTGGAAAACCATTAGACCCTCACATTTTTAGTGACAGTTCTTTTTTTTTTTTAAATAAAGGTTAATAGTCAAGTTACTACAATTAAAATTCACTCTGTCTTATCAGTAGTTTAAGTATTTGTTAACTCTGAAGCTATCTATAACATTAGCTCAACAAAAAGCTAGTTAATAACCTTAAACTGTTTAATGTAGTATTGAGAACATTATTTATGTATGCAATGGTACTATTTGTTTGTATTTGCAGAATTGTAAAATCATTAGTAAGCTATTTCAAATTGTACTTACTTGTCTAAAAGGAAGCTAAATAAATATGGAAAACTATTACCAAATTTTGCCTCTCGACTTTTTTTTTAGACGTATTTTTATTTAAGAGAAGTTTTAGGCTCACAGCAAAATTAAGAGGAAGGTATAGATACTTCCTGTATACCCTCTAACCCCAAAACATGGATAGCCTTGCCTATTATCAACATCCCCTACCAGAGTGGTGCTTCTGTTATACTTGATGAGCCTACATTGACACATGATAAACACTTTTATCTTAGGATTCACTCTTGGTATTACACATATTATCACATGTATCCTTTATTGTATATCACACAGAGTATTTTCATTGTTTTAAAAATCCTCTGTGCTTTTCCTTTTCACCCCTCTCCCTCTAAACCCTTACAACCCTGATTTTTTTTTTTATTGTCTCCAGATTCTTACCTTATCCAGACTGTCACACAGTTGGAATATTATAACATGCAGCTTTTTCAGATTGGCTTCTTGCCAACTCAGTGGTAGGTATTTAAGTCTCCTCGTCTTTTTAGTGACTTACAGTTCATCTTTTTAAAAAATTATCAAATAATATTCCATTGTCTGAATATACCGTAGCTTATTTATTCATTCACTTACTAGAGGATATCTAGATTGCTTCCAAGTTTTGACAATTATTATTAGAACTGCTACAAATATCCCTGTGCTGGTTTTTGTAGATATGGAGAGTTAGTTTTAAACCTTATTTCCAAAGATCTCCTCTGAAAAAACAGTGAGACTTTACTCCATCTGGGTTCTCCTAAGGCCTATATTCTCATTTTCTTTCTCTACACTTCATTTTATTAATTCAGGCATGAAAATTAGCTCTTCTTTGGTGTCCCCTAAAATGTTGACTCGTCAAATTCTCACATGTTTGGTAATTTTGACAAGTTTTAGGAACATGGCATATCAAGCACCTACATCATAGCACTTTATTAGTTCTATGTGCCACCTTGGCACTCTTTTCAGAGTAAATAATTCCCTCTTCTGTCAGCACTTTTATCCCTTTCTCTAAAGCCTTGGGGCTCAGAGATACCTGTTCACCTCAGAAATTCACTTGCCTCCAGTGGATTTTAAGATATTTTTCTAAAAGTGACAGATTGCTTGCTAAGAGGAACTTTTACATGGTGTTTTTAAGAAAAATTCCCTCAAATGCCACTTACTGGCTTCTTACCATATGCCAAGTGTTATATTAAACACTTTATGTGCATTATTCTACTAAATCCTTGTAACAATCCCGTGAGTGATGCAGTATTATTGCATTTTTAGATAAGAAAACTGAGGCTAAGAAATTTGAGTAAGTGCATACACATGGTAAATAATAGAATTGAGGTTTAAACCAAACACTGACACTTAAATTGCTATTGCTAAGCATCAACTATGTTCTTGGCCCATGGTACTGCCAACATGTAGGTTACTTACTCTTGTACTCTGCGCAGTTTTATAGTGGTATGAAAATTAGGTCTCAGTAGTTCAAAGAATTTTCAGTATTCTCAAAAGTAACAACATGTATACACAGAATAGGCATATTATTAACATTTATGAATTTTGAATGAAATCTATGCCAGTGTGACCAATAGATGCAACTTCCATGTTGCTTTGATATACACTTGCTTACTATATTGTGTTAATAAACAAGTTTACATTGAACAGAGGACTGGGTTCTGTGAGTTTAACAAATATTATGACCCAATCATAATTCAGTACTTGCGCTAAAGAGAGCATTGTTTCGATTTCTGTGAACCGTAGGTGACAATCTCGCCACTCGAGAGCTTTTCCAACACACTTGTAAGGCAGGTACCCTAGAAAATCTATTGCGAATATACCAAAAACTATACTAAATGTTGAATGAATGGTCCAGGTGAGTCAGTCTCCAAAGCCAGGGGTGCTAGAGGTCTGCATGGAAAAGGGGAAATTTCAGTCCAGGTCTGAGGATCTAGGATTTGAACAGCTCTAAAGCAACGTGCAAGTACACGTAAGGTGGGACGCTCACTAGGGGATCCATCCACTTAGCACAACCTGAGAACGCCGCCGGTGACAGACACGCATACTCCGGGCTGTCAACGAGCGAGCGCCTCGCAGTGGAGGGAGCCTGCGCCAGAGCGCAACACCGGCCAGCGCCCCCCCCCGCGCTTCCGTTTCCGGCCCTTCAGGTTCCGCCTCAGCGGAAATGGCTCTGGGGGGCCAGACGGGGTGATGCACCGTGTGGGGCGCGCAGGCGCAACGTGGGCAGCTGCAATGGCGCTGCCGTGCCCGCTGAACAGGTATCTGCTGCTCATGGCGCAGGAGCATCTGGAGTTCCGCCTGCCGGTGAGCCAGCCACGCCTTCCCTAACCTCAGGCGGGAGAAGAAGGCGCGGTAGGGATTGGTGTGCGGCTGGAGGCGAGCAGCGGGTCTTGAGCTCGCCGGGATCCAAGGGTGTGCGCTTGTCGGGGTTATCACGCATTCCCCTCGGCACGGGTTCGGGGTCGGCGGAGGGTGTGTAGGTCCAAGACAGACTTCTGCCTCGCTAAGCACGTTCATTAGTTCCTCTGCTCATGTACCAGGTACCGGAGTGAGGGAGATGAAAATGACCTGCCCTCCCTCTCCAGGAACTCTTCATCCAGCGTAGAATCGGGACGGGTCATCTAGTTTAGATTCTAATGTGCGGGTCAAACTCAGTCGGAGGAGGGAGAGGTGATGGTGGTGGTGGGTAGTAGGAGAAGTTGGGGGAAAGTTGGGAAATGTTTATTCATTCAGCAAACATTTTCAGAATACCTGCTATCCAATGTGACGGACGCTGGGGATGTAAGTGTTACAGGGCTGGGAGAGGGGCATCCTAGACCCCGCAAACCTGCCTGCTCTAAATGGGTTCTGCCATCCACCGCATCAACACAAAAGATATGAGACTTTAATGAAAAGGAACTTTAGTAAACAATGCAGAAAATACAAAGAGTATAGTTTCTAAATCAAGCACCCAAAGTTACCCGTCCCCTCGTGGGTAAAAGTCCACCCAAGCAGGATTGGCCCAGAGCAAGACTCCAAAGCCTGCCACAGGTCTAAAGCATCTTCCAGTGGGGACCCACAGAAAAGGATCAGAAACAACCAGACAAGTCTGGAGGGAAAAGAGCAAAATCAAGACAAAAACCGCCATTGTCACCTACCCACGGGTTTCACCCACATCTGTGTCAACCAGTCCACAAAAGGCAAGCGCAGTCAGTGTCTTCACTTGTCTCTCGGCTCCATGTGCCTCCTCCAGTCTCCTTCTGGCTCTCCATCCTGCTTCCTTCCTTCCTCAGTCTCCTCTGCAGCTGCTGCTTCTCCCTGCTCAGCTCCACCCTCCTTTGGGTAGGGCAGGAAACATGGAGCCCTCCCCTTTCCCCCTTTCCTGGGGACCACCCTGTTACATTAAGGACAGTTCCTTGAAGGAGCGCACTGTTTAGGCTAAGGCCTGAGCAGATGCAGAAAGGTTGCATTGTGAAATAACGTTGTTAAGAACAGCTAAAGAAAGATGTGCAGGGAAATGAGAGTATGAACTTCAGTTTATAGTTACTCGAACTGTAACATAAAGGTTGAGCAGAAATTAGCCTGACCAAGGAAAGAAGTAAGTAAATTAGAATTATTAGTATTAAAATTAGCACCTCATTATTAACAGATTACCAAATATTTAGCCAGGAGTCACAAGAAGAGCTCAGGAGAGGTAGATAGGGGCCAGTTTGCAAAACCTCAAATACCTGGAACTTGAAACTTGCTTGGAGAGTTTTAAATGACAAAATCAAAAAAATTTTGGCAACAATATGGATTTGAGCATAATAAGACTACAGATGGTCTCCAATTATGATTTTTTGACTTTATAATGGTGTGAAAGTGATACCCATTCAGTGCAAACCACAGTAAGATACTCTGCCCTGATGGTGGGCAGTGGTAACTCTCTGCTGCTCCTAGTTGGCATTTTCAACTTATGATGGAAGTATCATATGTGACCCTATCATAAGGTGAGGTGATCTGTAGTCAGAATAGTAAGGAGTCTGTTGTAGTCATGTTATTAGACAAAGGAGGCCTTAAGTAGAGCAAAGGGGTATGAGGATGGTACAAAATGGAAAACCTTTTAGGCAATAAAATTATTGCTTGATTGGTTGAATGTGGCAGAAGAGAAATCAGTCAAGGATGACTCCTGGAGTGGAGTTTCCATTTTAAAATAGAGAATGCAAGTAGATGTAAGATTCAAATTTTGGTTATGTTGAATTTGATGTAATAGTGTAACATTATGTAAAGATGACCAGGAGGCAGTAAATACATGAATATGCATACAGCTTGATAGAAACATCTGAACTCGTAATAAATATTTGGGAGTCTTTTGCATAACACTGCTACTACTAAACATCACTAGTACTTGGTAATTTTACTTGTTTCTTCCCTCTTGAATTCTTACTCAGTGTTTTACCCTAGTGCCCTAGTGTTGTACCCTATTGACTAGTTCTCTAGTCCTCAAAATTCAGTGCTGTTTTACTTTGGGCCCTCATTTTGCCAAGACTGAAACTCCTTATTCTGGCATTCAAGACTTGCTGTTGCGCAGTGCTCTCTGCTCCCACTTTTTCCTCTATCCTTACTGTAGTCAAACTTGACTTTTCCAGTATTCCCTAAGCAGTGCCCTGTATTGTCCTACTTTAGCCTTTGCTTTCTGAGCTACCTTCTGTCTGGTTTGGGTCTTTCTTAACCCAGCCTTCAATTTATTGATTTTATATAGTCAATTTTCATTTAGATTTTACACACATATTTACTTGTTAACTTTATGTTTTTTTACCTGATTCTTCTTCAGATCTGCAATTTCCTGTTTTTTGTTTCTTTATCTCCTGCCAAGATTCTTAATTTTTTCCCCCTTAAATATAGAAAGTGGCGGATATGTTAAAATAAAATTATGTGATTAATAAAGGTGGTCTTGTGAGTTCATTTCTGTTGTTAATTTTTGCTTTGTTCTCTTTTTTGTGTGTTGGGGTTTTTTTGTATACATGTGCCAGATATTGTATTTGAGTATTTGAAGAAGTAATAT